CAAAGAAAATTTTGGAGAAGAAGCAAGCAAAAGCAATTTTAGGAGAATGTTTATTATAATTATTATTTATTTTAATTTTTAAAAATGATCTACATTTCACCCAATAAAAAAATCCTTACATATAGTTTTTTATAAGTGTGCTCAACTATGTTTGTGTTTATACTGATGTGTAACACCCCAGCGTCATATGGCCAAATTTCAAAAAAATAGCAATTTTGTAATTCCTTAAAATTTAGGACTTCACGCGATTTTAGTTTTAAAAAATTATTTCTTGCTGCCAAATTTAGATACGATAGTCGAGAACTAGTCTAAGTTTAGTAATGATCATAGCGGACAAATTCCTCGTGAACTCTACAATATTAAAACTAAAGACCTATTCTATCAACTAATAACATTATTTTTTTTAAAAGGTAGGAGGTCTTTAGACTGAGCCAACTATATATTATAAATTATAAAAATCATCAGTTAAATCAATTGATTGGTAAAATTCTTTTTGTTACAGTAGACAGTTTCAAAATTTTTAATGTTAGTATATATTATGGGTCAAATTATGTTCTTTTTTCTAATGTTATTGCAAACCTTAGGGTCAAGTTATATATTAAACTTAAATTTGGTCTGGGTCAAACCATATAACAAACAGTAATTTTTGTTACTGACCTGTTTGAGGCTATAGTACGTGACACAAAAAATTAAGGTTATGCACAACATAATCAAGCCACTCCAAGCATAATAACAGACGAACGTAGCACAATTCGAAAAAAAAAAAATCCAAAGATTCAATATTAATATAGTAATATTAACTTAATACATAAATAAGCAAAATAAATATATCACATATGATGTTAATTTTATTATATTTTTACATTAATAAATTTAATTACAATTTAATGATAATTTAATATTCTCTTTGATATTAATATCAAAAAAAAAGTGAAGTTAGAAAGAAAGATTAATTGGATGATCAAGCAGTCCTTTAGGAATTTTGGCTGGTGTCGCAGGTCCATTTGGTCCACCACCAGTAACTGGAACTTTATCTGGATCTACAATTTGAAAATTAACTTCATCAATCCAAATTGTTCCTTCACCTAAAATAACAGTAAAATGTGAATATCATGGTTATGTTTAAAGAAATTACAACAAGAAAGACGGACTAATTTATCATTGACGATACTCACCAATCAATAAAAAGCCAAAGGCAAGCATAGCTGAATCTTCAGGAGCATCCAAGACAATTTTATATTCTGTCCAATCAGTAGTGCCTATAAATCAAAGAAAAACCCATTATTAGAATAATAATAATTTGTAATCGTGAAGCAACAAGTAAATTAATCACCAGTGATCGATCGATTGTGCATATTATCAAAAGCGTGGGCTTGCTCTAACAAGCGATCGATTCGCATCCACATACCAGCCCAATTTATGACACCCTGAAACAAAAAGTAACAATAAAAAATTTTTTGTAAAAATTATTTTACATTTTTTAGATGAATAATTGAATTGATTAAATAATAATAATAGAGCTCTTACAGTGGATTTTACGAAGCCTGACATTTGAACTCGTTTGCCTAATAAATTCGTAGGATTAAACGCTTGCATCACAGTACCAAAGCCACCGGCTACTGCTTTATAGTTCGGGCCTGACACTAAAATACCACCACGTGCAGGCTATTCAAAAAAAAAAAAAGAAGCTCACATTATTATACAGCATTCAATGGAAAAAGGTTTTGCAAATTCTTTGTCTTTTAAAAGTTCTTACTGTTGGCCCATAATATGTTGTGTAATCGACTCCTGCCAGGTAGTTGTCTGGCGCAGAACCGGCGAGAAACCACCCATCTGATAATGAAAGAATAAAAAATTATTTCATCAGAAGTTTAAATAAAGAATTGTAGTTCGTCCGCAGCTTACCAGGTAAAGCATAGCTAGGAGCTGCGGGAGCCTGAAACGAAAATTAATAAAATAATATATTTAATCGATGTTAGTTGTCTTTAAATTAATCAATGAATTTTTAAAATTAAAGCTTCATAAAAATTACACAAAGGCATGATGGAATCCATAAGAACAAGATAAAAATCGAAATAAACGAAGAAAAATTCATTTTGTTTATTGTAATTATTAGAAAAATTTTTTTTTTGACAAGAATTTAAAAAAATTGATGGAAAAAATTTCGAGGAAGCAATAACCTCGTCCATTTTATGTCTGATTCATCAACGAACACAAGCATAGTAAATGAATAGCGACAAAGAATTTGCAAAACCTTTTTCCATTGA